CCCGAGGCAGGAACTGAATGTGGCGCTTGCCACATAAGCAAGAGGACCTGAGTTCAGATCCCCAGTGCCCTCCTGGAAAGCAGACACAATGGCAGTTGGGAGGTAAACATAGTGGCTGGGAGTTGATTCCGCGAGATACCTCATTTCATGAAGTCAGTTAGAGACCCTTGACATTGACCACTGGACTCCGTGTGTGCACCCACATGTATACAAGTACATGTGCATGTACAGGCATACACGCACATACACACACGACTAAAAGCAAGTAATATGATTTTTAAAGTACAAACCAAGGGTAGAGAGGAATAGAGAAGAAGGCTCACTCTTTGGAATCCAGAGAACAAAGTCAAGTTCCTTCTTGCCTATTCCACACCACATAACTGACTCTTTCTGTGCTTCAGTTTCCATATTGTTGGAATCCTCCTGGTTTTTAACAGTTGTCAGGGTTATAAGTACTGGTCCCCAAGTGTCACATACAGTTGTCACTGCCTAAGCACACAATATTTGGAGGCTGTTACTTTTGTACTCTCAGTATTTTGGAGTTAAACACTGGTTTCTCTCGTGGATAACATCATATGTGTTGTACTATATTATTAGGGACATTCTCTGTAGGAAGATTGTAGATTTCTACCTCTGGCCCCTAAGCTAGGTACATGTCTTAATGGCTGTGCATTCTACCCTGCAAGATCATTTGTGACTTAGCATGAACATTTTTTTCTGGCCATTCTACCAGTGGCTGCTCCTTTAGGCCAGATCTCAGAAGGAGAGCAGAGTGGAGCAGGCCAAACCATCTGCTGAGTGCACAACACAGAAATGTGACCCGTGCTGAGTTAGGACTGGCAAGCAGTTTGCTTCTCTAAAGTGAGTTTGTTTCTGCTGGAATAGTTTTATTATCTTAGCATGTGTGTGTACTTTTTAATTATGTGTGAATCTCAAAGACAAACTCAATGGATCTTACAAAGAGTGAGTGTTTGGAAGGGAAGTTGTAAGGAGGGGCTTACAAGGGAGGGGAGGAGACTGGAGGGAGATTTATAAGGGTGGTAGGAAAGTAGAGGGGGTGAGGATTACAGTGGTTAATTCACTTTATATGTTCATGAAATTGTCACACACAAAACAAACGCTTCCTTCTTTCATGAGGGTTGTTACTGGAAGGTGTGGCAGAGGTTGGGTAGATATTGACTTCTCAAATAATCAGATCAAGAAAATCCTACACAGACCAGGCATGGTGGTGCACATCTTTAATCCCAGAACCCAGGAGGCAAGGACAGGCTGAGCTCTGAGTTAGGGGCTAGCCTGGTTTACAGTGCCAGTTTCTGTTACAGAACAACAGCAGGGCTACAGAGGAAAACAATGTCTCAATGTGTGTGTTGGGGGGGGGGGGAAGAGTCAGTCAGTTTCTCACCGGCATGCATAGTAACTTGGGTTTTAGTTAGTTCCAGATATAGTAAAGTTAATAACCAAAATTCGTCACCATAGGGTGTCCTCTTGAATTATGTACAGTATTGCATCTCATTGTTTTCCTGATAAGGGAACTTAATTAAATAGTCAATAGATTTAAAATACCAAAGTTCATTGACTTTATATAGTCATATGTTCATCATTTTAATGTCTGTCTTTCTGTAATTCAGTACCAACTTGAATCAGTCTTCCTTGCTCTGTAAAACACTCTGGTGATATTTGTGGTGTAGATCAACTGGCGATGAGTGCCAGTTTTTGTCTCAAAGCATCTATTTTCTTACCCTAAAGATGAAGTCGTACTTCTTCTGTCTTCCATTGTTTGCATTGCAAAACCGACTCAGTTTTATTCCCTAAAAAATCTAAATTGGAAACTATAATGTATAAGCAAAAGGCCAGGGAGACAATCACTGCCCCACCAAGGTGTCTTAGGGCTACTATTGCTATGATGAAACACCACGACCAAAAGCAACTTGAGAAGGAAAGGGCTTATTTCCCTTTAGCAATTCATCGTCAGATGTGGTAAGGGCAGAAACTCAGTCAGGGAAGGAAGGAGCTAATTCAGAGGCCATGGAGAGGTGCTGCTTACTGGCTTGCTCCTTATGGCTTGCTCAGCCTGCTTTCTTATAGAACTCAGACCTCCATCCCAGGCATGGCACCACCCACAAGGGGCTGGTCCCTCCCCCATTGTTCGCTAATTAATAAAATGCCCTACAGCCGGATCTTATGGCGGCAGTTTCTCCATTGAGGCTCCTTCTTTGATGACTCTAGATTGTGTCTAGTTGACAGAAAACTAGTCAGTACAATATGAAACTACAAGTTTTATGATGGTCATCTACTGCTGGGCATGGGACCAACCCTTAAGTGTAGATAATATACCTAGTGAGACTCCATTGGAGAGAACTAATTCTTCCTTTTGCAAGAGGTCAGTTAGAGATAGCTTCTTGGATAGGGGTACAAGCCTGTGTCCACTTTCCCATGTTAGCACTATGATGGAACCCTGTCTGGTTTGAACTTATGCAAGCATGCTGTCATAGTCATTTGAGAGCATATGCACATCTGTCCTTGTTGTATTTGCAAGACACTGTTTCCTTGGAGTCACCCATGCTCTCAACTCTTAAAGTCTTCCTGCTTCCTCTTCCCCTGAGCTCCCTGAGCCCTGAGGGGAGAGGTTTGAAGACATCCCATTTAGGACTGAGTGTTCTAAAATCTCTCAGTCTCTGCATATTGTCCCGTTCTGAGTCTTTGTGTTAGCAGAATGTCATTGGGTGTAATTTTATTGCTGTTCCCTTAGTAGAACAATAGTATTTGAATTTGGTTTTCTCCTAGGCCCATAGCCCATCTAGTCTCAGGTTCTTGGTTAGGTGAGTAGTTTCAGGCATGGATTCCATTTCATGGAGTAGTTCTTAAATTCAATCAGAATATGGTTGGTTACTCCCACATTTGGGCCACTATTGTACTAGCACATTACGCAGGCAGGCTACTGTTGCTGATGGCAGAGCTTGTAGCTGAGGTAGTGTTTATCCTTCTCCTCTGGTAGCATGCAGAGGACCTTCCAGTACCATGAACATTGGTCAGTAGAGGTGACTCTTGGTAGGCACCAGCTTGATTCCTCTGTGATCAATGAGATATATAAATGTTGTCTTCAGCAATAGAGCCTTACCTTCTGTTTGTGGAGAACAACTAAAAGCCTTGGCATTAGCCTGAGATGTTTTGGGGTTTCCATATTGGCCCTTTGCAACAACTAGATGCAACCCATACCTGACTTCGTTTAAGTTACATTCGTATATGTATATATTTTAAGAAGTTTCTACAGTAGTAAGCTTCCATGTGACTCCTCAAATAGCACTCAGTTGCTCCTCTCTGTATTTCTTAGCTTACCTTTCTCTTCTCCCTCCTCTCCCTGTTTAGTGTGCCTGCTCCAATATCCCAAAACCGTCTCTCGTAACTGTATGTCAATGTGCCCTGCCCACTAGTCTCTTACTCTACACCTGTCTTCTTTGGTTTATGCATTGAGGCATGCCTACCAAGTGCTTAAATGCTGACTTCCACGTAGAAGAGGGGTCTTTTCTTTAGTTTTAGGTTAATGATACTGTTGCTTTACATCAATCTCCAGACGTATATAAAAGTGCAGTTTATACGTGTGTCCTTCTTGTGTTACTTACTTCCCGTGTTGCTGTGAGAGAAGTCCCCAACAGACACAACTTATGAGAAGAAGGGCTTGTTACAGTCCATCACGGATAGGGTACTCCCTGCTCATTGGTTCCTTGTTGAACAGTATTGTGTAGTTTGATATTATTTGAAGAAAGCAAAGTTTCATCCGTTTCCTACACTTTTTTTCATATTAGAAGTATCCACTTGTCTGTGAACAAAGACCTTTAAGACAAAATGAGGCCGTGTAAGTTATAACGTCCCTTAATACAACCTTGGTTTTCCAGTTAGAATGGAAATATTTATATTTCTAAAAGAGGTACAAATATTTTGTATAGTTGGTATTTCCTTTGATAATCTGCAAATATTTATCTAACAGAGCCAAAATTCAGAGAGATGTATTTTTGCTTAATGTTTAACTTATTTTAAATTATGAGAAATATCAAGTACATGAAAGCCAAAAATATAAACATAATAGTCTGCCCTCTATCACAGTTTTGCTACTCTTATATTTTAGCTATGATTTAAATGAAATTGCTTCTATGATATTTGTTCCTTATGCAATCTTCTTTTAATCTATCTTCAAAAGGTCATTTACTAGGAATTTAGTCTGCTTCATTCTGATTTTCTTTTTGAATAGAGATTCCCTTTTCTCATGTGTTCATCTCAAGCAGATTCTGTTGGGGACTAGAATGTTTTTTTTTTTCCTTTTCTTCTTCAAGGGTCTAAATGAAATAATTATCGGTATCATTGCCTGCTTAATATTTCATGTGTGGAATCCTTCAATTTGTCCCTAGCAGTGTTACCTTAAAAACTGTAGTGGATAGCCAAGCACTGGTCCTTTTGAGTGTGCTTCCCAAACTTGAAACTCAGGCTCATCCACATTCAGAAAACAGCTTTGTGCCCTTCCAGCCAAAACTTGTGTACAGCAGCCCAAGCTTGGATTTTGTAAATTTCTTCCTGTAATTGGCCATTTGTCATTGTTTCTACCACTTACTGGGTCCCCATCCTTTCAGAGCATTGCCGGGATGATGCTGTTCAATGAAAACTTTGTGTATTCCAAGACAAAACAAAATGAAAATGCTGTGTGGTTTCATTTTTAAAATATCAGAAACACACATTCATATGTTTCTGGTAGTTGTTTGCAAATAAGAAAGTTTTAAAAAGACAGGGTCATTAGGTTGGGGATGAGTTAAATATCAGTTCCAGAGGAGCTGGGGAGTCATGGGTATGCAGTTATTTAAGCATTAAATCCTAATAGCACACTAGATTCTGGGGTGGGAGCCAATGGAATAATTTTTGCTTGGGCACTGAAGTTATGCAAACAGAAGTTACTGCACACCCAGGGTTTCATGACTGAGAAAGTAAACTTGTACCCCCTTTTTTTTTCATAGGTTCAAAAAGGCATTTGAATCTGAGCCAACACTACAGTCAGGAATTAATTATGCAGTCCTCTTGCTGGCAGCTGGGCACCAGTTTGAGTCTTCTTTTGAGCTTCGGAAAGTTGGTAATTGCAGCCTGATACTTTTAAAGAAAATCAAGAAACCGGACCCAGAGTTGGTGCAAAGGAGATGATCCTTACATTTTTTATTATATCTCATATAAATTTGTATGTGGCAGAGTGTTATTGGGTCCCCTGGATCAGAATTTCATACTGTTGTTCTGAATGTGCCCTTGCCTCCTGCTGGCCTTCCGGTGTTTAACAACATTCAGGATTCTCAGCTTTGGGAATCCGGTTTCAGATCTGAGCTTTGATTTCAGCTTTGGTAGCATTTTTATTGTTTCTAGATCCTGGCATAGCTTCTGTGGTAACCAGATTTCGTCCTGGTGAATGGCTAAACCCCTCCTTAGAGACACTTTCAGCTCTTAGAAGGATTATTACCACAGCCACAGAAGTCTTGGCCTTAATTTTGCAAGAGAAAAAAAAAACACTTATTAAATTATTCATTATAAAAGTTTTCTTTAGATTTTAAAGTTAAAAATGGTTTAGGTGTCTCTAAGAAAAAGTAAATCCTTTGCTCCTTAAAAACAAAAATCATCTTGGAAGGGCTTTCAAGGGTTCCATCAAACACTATTCTAAGACATTTTTGAGGGTAAATAGAGTCCTAGGATGAAGGAATGATAAAAATCTAATAATAAGCACTGCTGGATTGCTGTATATTAATGCCCCGAACTCTACCTGACATCATTTGTTAGTTAATTGGATCACTTCTTCCACCGTTTGTCTAAAATCAAGTGAAATAAGTTTCTGGTTGATAACTAAAATCAGAAAATAAAAATAAACATCAACTTGGGCATTTTTAGAAATGATACTAAAATATTCAATCTTAATTTTAAAGCTCTATCATAGCCCAAATTTCTCCTCCATCAGTGGTCCAAACATTTTGGTTGCTGTGCCTTTGAACACAAAAGTGAAGTTTTATTGGAGCCTTTTGGTCCTCATGGGATTTGCTGCCGATTTGCATGTGTAGGCTGAGCAGTGGTCGTGGTTTGGAAATGTACTTATTCTTGGTCTCATTTTTAAGTGGCGTGTAGATGAGACCAGTCAGCACTTTGAGGTTGAGAGAACTGTATGTAACTTCACCAAGTAAACACTGAATTTTATTCCAAGAAGAACTCAACAACACATATTGAACAAAGCTTAATGTGATAGACCATTTGGAGTCTTCTGTGTTGGGGAGGTGGATGCAGTCAGGCATCATCCCTAGTTAGACAGCTTAGTCTACTTGGTGAGCTCTAGGCCAGCAAGAGACCCTACCTCATAAGCACATAGTAAGATGGTTGGCAGCTGAAGAACCACACTGGAAGTTGACCTGTATCCTCCACATGCATTGTGCACACAGACCTACTCCCTGCACACATGTGCACCCTCCTAACAAACAAGAGACATGCACACACACAAAATTAAATTGTGTAAATTTGGAAGTTTCGCTCTATATGAAGAGGTACACTATGACTCTATGGTGAACTGTTGTGGCTCTAAGAGCTAAGTTTAGGCTTATGCGATGCTATTGTGTATACTATTATTTCTATATGAGCATAAGATGATATTTAGCTTTCTAGGTTATATTTTATTTAGTCATAAATTATGCCAATCAAAACTGGGTTGACCTAAAACTAATTTTTATATAGTAAGTTTTATGTATTATGTATTACATGTATTTTCAAGAAAAAAAATGGTCTAGGCAAATAAATTAATAAGTTAATGTAACAATATTAAATATTATATAAGGGAAAGGAAGGCTAATGGCATGTTTGACATATTTAAATGTGTTTATTTCATTTAATTCTCTAATCAAAATTTTAAATGTCTAACTTCTTCCATTCATTTATGTTGGCATCTTAAAACATGAATTAATCTGAATTACTAAACCATTATAATAATCATTTTCATTTTTATGATATCCTCTTAGTTTGCTTTTTATGAAGGGAAAAATTAAAACTTAAAGTCTGACCAAAAAAAAGTCACTAAATCTGAAGCTTTCAAATCGCTAATGTAAGAAATAATTCTCAACTGTCATGATCTGTAGCCAAAATGTAGTCCATTTCTACTACTATAACAAAATGTCAGAGGACGAGTAGTTTACTTAGACTGCAGGTTTGCAGGCTAAAAATCTGAGGTCTAGGAGCCCCGTTGACTTAGTCGCTGGGGGTCTCTTGGCTGTATCTCATCGTGGGGGATGTCAAGAGGGAACAGTTACGTGATGATGCAAGAATGTAGATACGATTCAGTGAGTGGACTTGCTCTTTCTTGTGTAACAACTCACTCTCAAAAGAGCTAGAGAAGGTCCCATAGGAACTACCTTGATCCTTTCTGAAGACAATGAGGATAGTAACTCCCATGAGCTAACCATGGCTCTGCTTATTAAAGGTCCTGATACTGCCCAGTACCACTAAACTAAGCCTCGAGCTTCTGGTACACAAACCTTAGAGGCAGACATCCAAGCCAGTCCAAACCATCGAAACTCTTAATTACAGTTATGGGTTTGTTTAAGGCTATACTAATTGCTTCATAAGTCTTCATTTTTAGATGAAAATAGATGGTTCAAGTACTTAGAACTAACATTTAAAATACAGGATCACATCTTAAATCCTGTCTATTTTCAGCTTCATAGTTTTGAAAATTAATATTCTAACATTAACCAAATAAAAAATTGTTTCTCACATCCTCTGTGGGAATTTTAAACTATGGTACATTTTATGGAGAGTCAGAATTACTGTTTGGGTCCAATCAGAAATGATGATGTAGGGAAAAGAACCTTGTGTTTAGAACTGAGATGAATTACTATTTTAATCTCAGTTTTTCTGAACATTAAAATTATCAGCGGAGCCAGGACTATAGTTCATGTTGATAGAGTGCTTGTCTGGCAGGCAGCAAGCCCTGGGTTCAATTCTCAGTACCATATAAGTGGCGTGGTGGCCATAGCTATAATCCCAGAACCCAAGAATGGAGTCAGGAGGATAGGAGCAGAAGGTCAGTGACAGCCTTGGCTGTCTAATTCTACCTTAAACACACACACACACACTCTCACACACACACTTTTAAAAAAAATACACAAAAAACAAACAAAACAGAAAACCTCAAACCAAACCAGAACAAACAAAACCTCAAAACAGTAAAAATAATGAACTATAATAATTATTACTGAATATAAACATCCATGTGTCCAGAAAGATAAGAAAAAAGACAGAAACAATTCATTACCAACCACAAGGAACTCCTTTTGTCACTTATGGAGGTGGCCACTGTCTCAGAAAATCAGAACATAGAAGGGAAAGGTCAGATACTTTCCCTTCCTGTTAAGGGGACATTCTGGTTTACCTGTACTGATGCACTTGTCCACTTGACAACTGTTGCATGCGCTCTTACTCCCAAAGAGGAAACGTTCTCCTGGAGCCTCCTGATTAATAAAGTAGAAAGCAGATGACGCTGCTGCTGGGAATGTCATGATAATAGTTACCATGGCAAGGGTTTTCAGTGAGAGCCAAAACCATTACATGGAGAACCTTATTTAAAAAGCAGGCATCTTGCCATACTCACAAGGTACCTGGGCTGTTCCCTGGTGAAATTGCTCATCACAAAGGAAAATATGTACACACATGTGGTACACAGATGTACATGTATGTAAAATGCCCATATACGTACCAAATAACTAGACTAATAAATCTTCAAAATAAATAAAGAACAGATGTGTCTGTAGAAAGGAAGGAGCCTACAAAGTGACCAGACTCATCTCACTGTTGTAAATGGTTACCTTGCTGCATGGTTGTCTTCTTTTCAAGAGGCGTATAGTGTCTCTCATGAAAACATTCTCACTATAAATGTTTAACTGTAAGCCTAAGATCTGATATCTATTTATTAGGAATCAAGAGATCTAAGGAAATAAGTTAGGAACTACTAGGAAATGCCAGTGGACAGATCCAGAGTACAAGGACATTCTGCAAGAAGGCATTCTGCTTTGGTTGGGGGAGGGGGAAGGCATCTGTGTCATAGGAAAAAAAAGCATGGCTGGATTAGGTAGATTAGAAGATATTCAGAGTGACAAATGCCAAATGAAATGACCTTGATTCTGAAAAATCTATGGGGGACATTTAAGTAACAAAGATTTTATTTTTGTCAAGACAAGCTAACATAGAACATTATGGAATTGGAGTTTTAATGGGGAGATATTTATAGGGGAATTTTAAAGATTCCTTGTGATTTTTCAACATGAAATATTATATCGGTGATTTAGTTTGAAATGGTTCAGCAAAGATAATCAAGGAACTGGAACAATAAGAACACGTTAACGTGTCACAAAACCAGTCATTCATTGTAGTACATATGTATGTATACATACGCACATGTATGCTTTGCTTCTGTGTATGTTCAACATTGTGTATGCTAAGCCAATGTTCTACCACTGAGCATTGTCTTCCCACCCCATTATTATAGTATATTTTATAATTGTGTACATTTGAAACCCTTTATAATAGAAAGTCAAAATGAAAGACTCTAATCTCTGCCTTTTAGGGAGCTACCTGGTCTCTCAGGACTTTGTTCTCCTTGTTGGAAAAGAAGATAGTCCCTCTCTCATTGTGTTGTGTGGACTGAAAGAGTCAGTAATTTTAATGTGCTCAGTGCTAGGCAACTAATGAGTGTTTGGTGGCAGTTCTGTGTCCTCCTTTGTCCATTAGAATAGCCTTGAATTTAGTAGGAGCTACCAGCTGAAAACACTGTGATAAAAACCATACTATTGAAAAGTCAGTGCTTACAAGTCAGCCAGTTCTAATGAGAGTTGTGTGCTAAATCCCAAACCACATAAGCAGATAGTTCAGTGGAAGAAATGATGGGAATATTTGAAATAATGAGAACACAACATTCATCACTTATAATTTTAGCCAAAAAAACTTACATTGAAAAAATTTACTCTATTGGTAAGGACTTGGTAAATTATAATTGGTGTAGTTACAATAGGAATCATGCATAAGTACCTTTAAAAATGTTTCAGGAGCATACATGATCCCAGCACTTAGGAAATAAAATACTGTAGCCTAAAACCCAGTGTAATACTTCCGAAGAGAGCTTTTATGGAAATATCCTAAATACAGGTACAATTTTATATACTAAGATCTTTAGTTCCATAATATATGAATGTGTGTGAAAAAGAAAAACCTCATAAATATAAAAACATTGGAGGAACTGGGAGATGTTCCTCCTACGTAAAGTACTTGCCTTGCAAACATGAGGACCTGAGTTCAAATCTCAGAAGCTGCATGGAACAACAAAAAATAAAAGTCAAAATAAGCTAGGCAGTTGTGGCGCACTCCTTTAATCCCAGCACTTGGTAAGAAGAGACAGGTTGATCTTGGAGTTTGAGACCAGCCTGGTATACAGAGGGCGTTCTAGAACAGCCAGTGCTACACAGAAAAACTCTGTCTCAAAAAAAAAAAAAAACAACCAACCAACGAACAAATAAGTTTATAAATAAACAAAAAATCAAAGCTGAAATGGTGGGACGCTCTTGTAATCCTACTTCTAAGAAGTCAAAGACAAATGGGTCTCCCGGGCTTGCCCAACCAGTGTAGCCTATTGGAGATTTCTGTCACCTACAAAGAACACCTCAGGTTGTTCTCCTCTGGCCTCCATACACACTTACACAGCATGTGCATGCACACACTTGCACTCGAGCAAATACACATGCATGCGAGCAAACACATGCATTAGAATTATATTTTTAGCACCGATATTAAAAGTTTAATAGTTTCATATAAAAATAGGTTTTATACATCATATTTAAAAGACATACAAGTTCATTTGCTAAACCAACAAGAAAAGATCACTAATCACAGAAGCTTTAAACGGGAGTTGGGGCAGAGTTCTAATCCATGTACCTGTGGTCCCAGCACCAGTAAGTAAAGACAAGAAGATTCTGAATATGAGGCCAGTCTAGGGTACATAATAAGATCATGTCTCAGTAAAATAAAACAAGATTGGAAATGCTGAATGGACATGACAATTGTCACAACTGTCAAAGGAACAACAGTGTTGTGTGTTAGCCTTTACTTAGAGCCTGTCAACACAGAAGGAGTAAATCTCTTGTCTCCAACAAAGCAGCATTTAGAACTTCATGATTCAGAGGTAATTGGGTGAGTGGGCAAAGCTAGGCATACAAGAACACAGTAAAACATGGCTGTCCATCCGTGTTTGGGTAAATAATTTATGATGTACCCATGTGCTACAATATTATTTCTTATTAAAGAAAATAATACATTTTGAGGCTAGTAAGATGGCACTAGGTGAAAGTACTTGTTACAAAGCCTGAATTTGATCTTCCGAAATCACATGGTTGAATTAACCACCAAGTCCCTCACATTATCCTCTGACCTCTGCATCCAAACTGTGGTATGAGCGTGACTGTAGTGGTCAGTGGGCACACATGTGTACACACATGCACACATGTGCACACATACATGCACACATGTGTGTTGGGCTGTGGTGTGAGTGTGGGCATAGGTCCTGTTGGGTTGAATTGTGAGTCCCATGTCTGCCGCCCAAAGGGGCTGGTGCCAAGGCTTAGGGAGGCAGAAGCACGGGCATTCGACTGAGTTCACACCACAATGCGCCAGTCGGATGTCGGGCTATGTGAAAGTAGCCAGGGGTCCCAAGGCCAAACTCCTCAGGGAAGCTGAGGGTCTCTGGGGTTCAAAGCCTGCTTGACCAGGTACCCAGTTGCCTCTCACAGCCCACCACCCCACACATGTATACACACACATATACACACACACACACACACACACACACACACACAAGTAAATAAATGTAAAAATAATTTTAAAAACATTTTTTCCCAAATGTTGAAAGGCTGGTATCATGATCACTTGACAAAGTGCTACCATGGTTAAAACCAAATATCACTACCCTACAACTTCTGTGTACAAAAAGTGCTGAAATTTGATTGTAACTGTTGTAGCTTTCCATCTAAGCACCAGGGCTCTGTCACATTGCATCTGGGCATCACTGTTTTTAGACAAGTGTGACTTCATGAAAAGTTGTTCATTTTTAGCTAAGGCTGTAAACATTTTTTTTACATCCATCAAGATCTGTGATGTGTTTGCATATGCAGGTGCAACTGTTTCAAACTTTTGAAATTTTCTGGTGGCAAAGCTGTTCACTTTTTAATTTACCCTCAAAATGTGAAGAATGCCCAAATGTTCATTTCTCACCCACCCCCCGGAAGTATTTATGGTTTAAGTAAATTATATAATAAAAAGTAACTTTTCTTAGGTAAAGATTATTTTGTTTTAGTTATAATCTTCAAAAGGGTAAAATTATTACTCTCAGAAAATATGAAATAGACATAGATATAAATCATTTTAATGTGAAATCTTTAAATAAGATTATATGTCTGAGTCAAAGACCATTTAAGCAGTAATAAATATTTAACAAAAAATATTAAGGTAAGATATCTATACTTGATTTGTTTTGAAGCTGGTTTATGTTCTAACAGGCCACAAATCTTAGGGATTATATGTTCTGCTAGACAAATTATTTATATGGTAACTAGAGTAATACTTACAAGTTAATAAGTAAGCTATTAATGAACCTTTAATAAGTAGTAATTATATTTTCCTTGAGTGGCCTTATGGCCCCGTAGCCTGTTACAGTGATATGTCCTACCTTTTTGCCATATTTTTAAATTTTAAGAACGATTTTTTTTTTTTTTGGTGATACTGGTAATTAAATTCAGAGCCACGCACATGCCACATGTGTGCTCTCCCACTGAGCTATGCTTCACCCCACCCCCTTTATTCTCGATAGTTTCAGCAAGTTGCCCAGGCTGGTCTTGAATCCACTCTCTAGCCCAAGCAAACCTTCAGCTTTTGATAGCTGGACCACCTCCACAGAAGCCAGAAGTATAGGCATGTGCAACTAGGTCTGGCCTCAAATAATTTTTAACATAATGAGTATTGGGAGTATTAAGCAGTTTCACAAGGATGTATTTTAAGCACATTAATACGATGCACAAAATAATACAAGATGGCTATAATAAAAGAGTTGGAGAATATAAATCATATTATCATGCCTTGTTAGACAATGACAGAAATGGGCTGGAGATGCAGCTGAGAGGCACTTGATTCTCATGTGTAAATTTTCTGCAGCATAACAAAGGGAAAGGGGGGACACTAATGACTCAGGACTATCTAGAGTCTGGCTTTATAGGTTCATAACTGGGCTAATGTGTAATGTATGTAAATATATGTTCACACCGCACATACAGTCACACCCTATCCATTACATACAGACACAAACTATCCATTACATGCAAACATACATTATCCATTACATACAGATATATTCTGTACATCACAGACACACCCTATACATTACATACAGACACACTCTACACATGACATACAGACACACCCTATCCATTACATACAGACACATCCTATACATTACATACAGACACACTCTACACATTACATACAGACACAACCTGTACATTACACACAGACACACCCTATACATTACCTACAGACACACCCTGTACATTACACACAGACACACCCTATACATTACATACAGACACACCCTGTACATTACACACAGACACACCCTATATATTACATACAGCCACACCCTATACATTACACACAGTCTCACACTATCCATTACATACAGACACACCCTATACATTACATACAGTATCACACTATCCATTACATACAGCCACACCCTATACATTACATACAGTCTCACACTATCCATTACATAGAGACACACATCTGTGATTCAGTTTACTCACATATTTTCCATTCTAAAAAAACACAAGAAAATCCCCTTTCAAATTATTTCATAACCCAGGATATAACAAGCGAAGAAAGGGGCTTACACAAGATCCTGAATTTTCTCATCTTATAAGCTGTACACATATAGATACATGAAAATTCTAGACTGTGATAGGTAAATGACTGTTGGATTTTTCAATTAATGATAATTTGTGCTGGGGTGGGAGAGGTGGCTCAGCAGTTAAGAACACTTATTCTTGTAGAGGGCCCAGGTTCACTTCCCATCACTTACACTATGGACTACAACCATCCACAACTCTAGTTCCAGAGGACCTACACCCCTCTTATGACCCTCCCCGCAGGGCATCTGGCATCCACATACATTCATGTGGCCAAAACACTCATATACATAATAGTAAATAAAAACAAATACAAGTTTTGAGAGATAATTTTTACCTGCGTGTACATTTTGTTTACTAAGACAGTATGTCTGTCTGAGGGTTTCCATTGCTGTGAAGAGACACTGTGACTAAGGCAACTCTTATAACGGATAACATTTAATTGGGGCTGTCTTACACTTTCCAAGGATAGTCCATTATCATCATGGCAGGAAGCATGACAGTATGCAGGCAGACATGATACTAGAGGAGCCAAGAGTTCTACATCTTGATCTAAAGGCTGCTAAGAGAAGACTGTCTTCCGGGCAGCTAGGAGGAGGGTCTCAAAGACCACACCCACAGTGACACACTTCCTCCAGCAAGGCCATACCCCCTAATAGTGCCCCTCCCTAGGCCAAGCATATTCAAACCAGCACAGTGTCCTTCCAGTGAGTTTGAGCCGCATCAGTAATGGGAAACTTTGAGCTATTTCGATGTTTAAGGACAATGAAAACTTAATTTCACATCTAAATGAAAAGTCAGCTCTGCCTTGTAATTCTCTGCTTCCTATTCATCTCCTAGGAGTGAAGCTGAGCAGCCTTCTGGGTAAAAAGGGGAACTTGGAGAAACTCCAGAGCTACTGGGAAGTCGGATTTTTTCTGGGAGCCAGTGTCCTGGCCAATGATCATCTGAGGGTCATTCAGGCATCTGAGAAGCTGTTCAGACTGAAGACACCAGCATGGTAATCAACTCTCATGCACTTGTGAAGTTTAATAAACAGCCTCACACTGTTGTTGAATTTTACAGCTTAGAGGACATTTTGTTTATTTTTAGGCTAACATCCAGAACCTATAGGAAAAAACAGAATTTTCATAAAAAAACAAAACTATTGAGTTAAAAGTTGTGATGACTTTGATGAAGTCCGTTAAGCTTTTCCTATGCATTGGCTAGCCCCCCGAGCCAGGTCAGCCAGCATCACTCACATAAACTATGCCGAGGCTGTACTCGGAGCCTTCACATCTGACCCAGCCTGGGATCTAAGACCACATGTTCATCTCAGCCTCTCTGGGCATCATTCCAAACCCGAGTACTTTCTTTCCTTCATGATCCAGTTTCTGTCTGGGAATTCTTATTCTTGGATTTCATTACCATTCACTCCTGGTGTGGTAGACACATTGGAGTGCCTCCCATGTGTATGTTTTGTAAATCCCAAGCTGTTTTGGGAAGATATCCAAGTCTCATTATTGTCTCTTCAGTATGGGAGAGATAAGATGCCTTCTGCATTTGAGACTATTTAAAAAAAAAAATAATGCTTCTTCTATTCCGCATCATTTGTGGTTACTGATGTGGTGAAAGGTTCGCAGCCATGCACACAAAGTCCCTTCCTAGAGCAGGTCTGAGGCCAGGCTCTCACTGGCCACACCCCAGGAGCTGCCTGCCATATTAAGGCCCTTGTAGCCTCTTACAGGACTTCACGTTCGGGTTTCACCGCCCAGTCTTCCTCCACGGCATCTCTGCACTGATCTTTCTAAAATATAAGCCTGACCTTTGCTTCCTGTAGAAGAAGTCCTTAAATCAATCCAGTTAAATAGCCATCACAGCTGAGGGGTAAAGTCCATCTCCTTGGTTTGTCAAGCCTTCCCAGACTTGCTTTTGTTTTGCTCTGGGATTCACGCTGCTCAATGAGCAGCAAGTGGTTTTAAATGTTTGCATTTAACACTTGCCTGAAGATGCCCTGTGCAGCCTCCTTTTTCATCCACCTGGGGGAATGCTCACACATCACATCTTAACTCAGATGCTGACTTCGAACTTCCATGCTGACCACTCCCCTAAGCCCCCATTATCACCACCGCCACCCTGACCAGCACCTGCTTTCTTGTTTTGGATGTTCTTCAGTCTGCCCCTGTCACTGTTGATGTTTTTCCTTACAGTCCATCCCTACTGATTTTATTCATAGTGTTAACATACCTTTTTCTATGTGTTTCCATGGTGCCATGTTCAACTTGAGGACAGGGGCTGTGCTGACGTCTCATGCGTGTCCACAGTGGGCTTTGAGTAAATGCCATGAGCTAAATGAACCCATAAACATGCGTGCTACATTCAACTCCATATGTTGTTTCTTTTTGACAACTATTCTGATAGCAGAAGTGGAGACTGAAGAGTGGATACAGAGAGCTCCGGCTTTGGGCATCCTGGAGTCTGTTAACAAGAAAGCAAACACCGTTCTACACAGTCCTGAAGCAGCCACATGACAACGCCTGTTATGTAATGTCAACTCCCATGTCTGTGGCCTGCAAACTGCTTATGTAGCCACTACCTTCCTCATTTTTCTTAACTTTTTCTTCTGAGACACCATCTGTCTTCTTTGGTTTGAGGACATTTGTTTAATACTTAAGCTCAGTGGTTCAGAGGAAAATAATTTCACCTGAAATATCTATTTCAGAGAGCTTCCTTGAAGAGGCATATATTTAAAAATAAATGTGTTCACCTTGTCTTCAAATTGATATAGGTATTTAAAACTTGTATGATACAAATAGTCACACACACACACACACACACACATGCACACACATTTTTAAAGTGTTGTTGAGGATGTAGCTCACTTCTGAAGGATTTCCCTAGCATGCACAAGGCCCAGGTTTGATCCCCAACATCACAAATGAAAACACATTTTAGGGAGATGTTTGGCTCCAGGTTCAATTTGTTTAAGCTTTCTAAACCTGAGTTTTCTCGTCTCTCAAAAGCCTATTTTGTTGAATTTTTGTGAAATTTAAACATGTGAAAGTACCCGATTTGCAGCATAAAGTAGAGCATGTTTGGTAAATACGGAGGCCCAGTGATAAGCACAAGTGTACCTAGAGATGTAAATGTACGTGTAGGATAAACACGGGGTTGAGGGGAACAGGTGGCCCTAAATCTGTGCTGTCTTCTGTGCTTTAATTCTCAGGTACCTCAAGTCTATTGTGGAGACCATTTTGATATATAAGCATTTTGTGAAACTGACCACAGAGCAGCCCACAGCCAAGCAGGAACTCGTGGACTTCTGGATGGACTTCCTGGTTGAGGCCACAAAAACAGATGTTACTGTCGTTAGATTTCCAGTGAGTACTCTAATGTACATGAGTTCAGTTATGTGTTGCTTCCTGTCATTGAGAAACATCTGGCAGTGTGATTTTGACAGTCGTGATGTGGGTGACTTACAGATTGAGTTGTTTTGGCTTACTTTTTGTATTTTAGTGCTTTATTATTGCTATTTATTTTGAGACAGGGTCTGATTAAGTAGTCCAATCTGGTTTTGAACTCCTGCCGCACCCTGAATGTTGGGATTACAGGCACATCCACCATGCCTAGTTTTGTTCACTTTTTGACAAGAATTCTCCAAACCATAGAAATGAGATAACATCTTGGGGCAAGGGATTGGAGTTGCTCCTTATGGTGTGCCCTGAGGCACACTCAGAAAGCAGGAAAGAGATCATGCTTTGGTTATGTCATGGCAGCTCTTGATCCCAGGCAGATTGATGTCCTTGGATGCTGCCGTTCTGTTACTTTGTCTTAAAGATTATCAGTATTGTTATGGCCAAACCACCAGCTCATTGTTTGCAATTCTGTCTCACCCACTCTTGGGTTGGGTCAAAGTTGCCCTGTGGTCACATATATACTCATGGAGCAGTCGCTTCCAGTGCTTGACTCTAGAAAACGATGACTTAAGCTTGGTCTTCAACTGAGTATGTTTGGTTTCTAACAGATATGTGTGTGTGTGTGTGTGTACATAAACACAGAGACACAGGCATAGACGCACACACATATATTTATAAAATATATGTCTGTCTCTCTACACACACATATTATGCACATACATGTGTGTGTGTGTGCACGCACGCATGCACCTGTGTTTGTGCATGGATATGCACAGACAGGCATAGACACATATGTATATGTGTGTGTGTGTGTGTATATATGTGTGTGTGTGTGTACATATATATGTCTTTCTATATACACACACATATTGTACATATACATCTCTGTATATATGCATGGATATACAGACAGATATAAACATATATATACACATATATATTTCTATATACACACATACATATGTACATACATATTGTACATACTCATCCATGTGTATGTGTATGTATGCACATGGATACACAGACATGGGCATAAACACATGTATGCATACTTATGTCTCTCTATATACACATACAAACACACATACTTATTGTACATACATATCCATGGGGGCGTGTCCATAGGTTGTCCATAGGTCATATGTGTATGTGTGTGTGTATTTGTGACCATAGGTCATCCTCAGCATCATTTCTCAAGAGTGATCCACTTGTGTTCTGAGACAAGGTCTTTCACTGGGATCAGTTAGCATGGCTGCCCAGCAAGTTCCAGGGATTCACTTGTCCTCGGCTCTTTAACACTGGGACTATATGAGCTCATACCACCCAGCATGAGCATTTAATGGTTACTGGCATTAAACGTAGTCTTCATGGCTTGTATAGCATACACTTTACTGACTAAGCTACCCTTACACACACACACACGCATGCACATGCACACACATCATTTTACAGGATGCATGGTTCATGTTCGCAGTCTATGCATCCCCATCCTACAGCACTTGGAGTCACCATATACTAAGTAGTAAGGTAGTGGAGTGGCATCCGATCCAGGACTTTGTAGCAGTGGACTCTGGGCACAAATTAACTTCCCATATCAAAGTGACACATCTCTCTAATCTGTGCTTATGGGAAGTGACCGTTCTCCATTCCTTTTATAAACCTCAGTTTCTGGTTCTAGGATCCTGTGCTTTGTTTAATTAAACCCAGTGCTGGAGTGAACATGCTTCTCTCTGACTTCCTCGGAAGCCTTGAGCTCTGTCTCCTAGTATAGACAATGGACAGCATAGGAAAGCCTGTATCTTGGAGTGAGCTGGCAGCTTGCCTTTCCCTAGTGCTCTGTGAGGCGCAGTAAATGTGGTGGCGGAAGAAGAAGGCATGCTGCCGAGGTGGTGAGCTAGAAAACCACAGGAAGGTGCCCCACATAGCCACCATCTCCAGCTCACTTAAACGAGTCCAGTGTGAGTTAGTCTGCTGTAAGTAAATGAATAAAGAAATAAGACCCAGGAAATAGTGAGAAGTTGTGAGATTATAAACTCTAGGTTTAAAAGACTTTTTCTTTTTTCCATTTTTAATATTTCTCCTATTTTAAATGTTCTCTCCCCTCCCCTCCTTCCCTCCCCTTTTTTCTATACTGAGGATCAGACTCAAAGTTAAGCAAGCACTCCACCTCTAAGAGACACCCCGTCCCTTATTTAAAACAAACAAACAAAAGGACATTTGGGAGGGAAGATAAGACCTCACTACATACCAGACTGGCCTTGAATTCTTTGTGTCTCCAGATCTAGTTTCAAACTTGAAATTCTCCTTCCTCAGCTTCAAAAGTATTGGCATTATAGGCACATGCCACCATGTCTATCTTAGAGACTTTCTAAAGCAAGAAGAGCCCCATAGGTCCACAGGGAAAATCTTCTCTCATCCTAATTGATTTCATTTAAAAATGGAGGAGAGCTGGGAAGATAGCCCAGTCCATAAAACATTCGCTGTGCAGATGTGAGCAGAGTCCCACCTGGAGAACCCGTATTTAAAACCAGATCCATTAACGTTATAGTGCTAGGGGAAGCAGAAAGGAAGAGCCTTTGGCTCACCAGCCAGCTAGCCTAGCCTACTTGGTAAGTTCCAAGCCAGTGAGAGGTCCTTTAGGTGAGGGCTGGAGATCTGTACGGCTCAGTGGTTAAGAGCACTGGCTGCTCTTCCAGAGGACCTGGGTTTGATTTCCAGGACCCTCACAATGGCTCACAATGGAATTCCAGTTCCAGGGGATATGGTGCTCTCTTCAGCCCACTCCAAGTTCTGCACATGTGTGGTGCATAGACAAACATGCAAACAAAACACACACGTATATAAAACTATTTTTTTAAAGATGGGTGGCCTCTCCCAAGGAAACACACCTGATCTTGTCCTCTGGCTAGATGCATATATGTGCATATGTACCCAAATATACATGTGAACCTACACAGACACCCACCTATATCTATATACACACAGCAAAATGGAGGCTCTGGGGGATGTAGCACAGTGTAGAGGGCTTGCCTAGAATGTGTAAAACTGTAGTAAAAAAGGAAATATTCCTTTCAAAAATTAACATAGGGGCTAGAGAAATGGCTGAGCCATAAAGACCACTGATTGCTCTTCCTGAGGTCCTGAGTTCAATTCCCAGGTGAGAGTTCAATTCCATGGTGGCTCACAACCATCTGTTATGGGACCTGATGCCCTCTTCTGGTATGTCTGAAGACAGCTACAGTATATATATATATATAGATATAGATATAGATATAGATATAGATATAGATATAGTATATTTACATATACTTTGTATACATATATTTATATGTGTATATATACATATATATTACATTATATGTATATATACATATATATTGGTATATTTACACATATATTTATATATATTTATATACAGTATATTTATATATATATAAAATCTTTATTAAGAAGAACTACCATAAACATACAAATTACAAAGCTATGAAGCAGGAAAAGTATTAATACAAATGCTTTAAAATGGAAAAATTGCCTAATATGAAAGTTAAAGACAGTGACCATAGGGAAGGAAATTAGCCTAATTAAGTAGACAAGAAGATACAAATTAAGTTTAGAAATAGCTTTTGGTCTGCTGGACTTGAATTGGTAACACTTTTACAGTTGGCACATGTAGGGGACAGAAACATTTTAGATTTGTTAGTGGGTGTAAGAATTTCCAGACATTCTGAAAAATTGTGTCAACAAGGGATGATGAGATATGGAAGGGACTGTGGAACTTCAACTGTATTTGCAAAGTCTGTTTCTTTGAAACTGTTTTAAAGTAAGCACAGTAGGACGTTGACATTGTGTTCTGCAGGCAGGCTGGGGCACACAGGCATTCTTGTGCACACGTTACATTATCGTGCACATATTACATTCTTGTGCACACGTTACATTATCATGCACATATTACATTGGCGTGCACACATTATCGTGCACACATTACATTGGCGTGCACACGTTACATTATCATGCACACATTACATTCTTGTGCATACGTTACATTCTCGTGCACACATTACATTCTTGTGCATACGTTACATTATCGTGCACACATTACATTCTTGTGCACACGTTACATTATCATGCACACATTACATTCTTGTGCACACGTTACATTATCATGCACACATTACATTCTTGTGCACACGTTACATTATCGTGCACACATTATATTCTTGTGCACACATTACATTATCATGCCCACATTACATTGGCATGCACACGTTACATTATCATGCACACATTACATTCTTGTGCACACGTTACATTATCGTGCACACATTACATTCTTGTGCACACGTTACATTATCGTGCACACAT